AGTGCCGTACTGTCCTCATGCAGGATAAATTGTGTGCATGTGTAAACTGACTATAATCATACATCGCGCGGTCATCTTTGCGGAAAATTTTGAGCAATTCAATTTTACGTATATATTTTGCCTTTTGTATATGAATAATAAAGTGGTCTCGTTCATTAAAAGCATGATAATATGCATAATACACCGAAAGATATTTATTTCTATATTACCTCAATTTACCTATATATCAGTTTCAGACAAACGATGCTCCTATGACGTGCAACACGTCTTTTCGCTTTTTCTTTGCATTATCCGCTTCTGAGTTTCTTCCTCTCGCTTGCCTTTTCTTTTCTCTTTCAATCTTTCAAGATATGCACGAATTTTTTGCTCCCGTATCCCTAAACCTAAAATTAACCATTCCGCCCTGCTTTTATCAGCGCCAATTTTATAAGCTTCCTTACCCAGCGCTTCTCAAACGAGAAGCCCTTGCGCGCTTCTCGTCTCTTCTTATATTTTTTATACTTATGTAGCTATGCATGATAAGCATCACTGTGGCTCGGATATGATTGCCCATTGTAGTCTACATGCATGCATTGCCCAAAGGGTTTGGTGCTTAAGGGCTGTTTACATGGAGCGAGTTCTCCCGACTAGGCGAGGTGAAAACTGCATATAATGAAAGACTAATCAGGTTAAGTCTTCGATCTGATGCGCTTTACCTCGCCTAGTCGGGAGAAACTCGCCCATGTAAACAGCCCTAAGCACCAAACCCTTTGGGCAATGCATGCATGTAGACTACAATGGGCAATCATATCCGAGCCACAGTGATGCTTATCATGCATGCACATAGTATAAAATATAAGAAGAGACGAGAAGCGCGCAAGGCTTCTCGTTTGAGAAGCGCTGGGTAAGGAAGCTTATAAAATTGGCGCTGATAAAAGCAGGGGAATGGTTAATTTTAGGTTTAGGGATACGGGAGCAAAAAAATCGTAAATATCTTGAAAGATTGAAAGAGAAAAGAAAAGGCAAGCGAGAGGAAGAAACTCAGAAGCGGATAATGCAAAGAAAAAGCGAAAAGTCGTGTTGCACGTCATAGGAGCGTCGTTTGTCTGAAACTGATATATAGGTAAATTAAGGTAATATAGGAATAAATATCTTTCGGTGTATTATGCATATTATCATGCTTTTAAATGAAGAGACTTTATTGTTCATATACAAAAGGCAAAATATATACGTAAAATTGAATTGCTCAAAATTTTCCGCAAAGATGACCGCGCGATGTATGATTATAGTCAGTTTACACATGCACACAATTTATCCTGCATGAGGACAGTACGGCACTTGGCTTATGTGCTGCTGTTAGATCAGGGGCTGTCCGCTGTCACAAGACGGAAACCTCTATGATAGGGTAAAACCAGAGCGAGAACAAAGTTAAGAAATATTCAGACGAATTTCATTATAATTTTCATTGTATTGGTGGTCGTTGTCTTCCTTAACTATTGCATAACAACGAATACCATCGAATTACGACACTGCATGATCATTGGAAATTCAGATTACGACATATAGCTAAGCCTTACTCAGAAAGTTGTGAGCCAGTTAAACATTTTTATACCCGCCTACATTTTAACTTCATGTAAACGTTACTTAGCCAAAAATTGAAAGGAAATCTAGAAAGACATAAAGTTTCCTTATGAATGAATATAATCGGCGATTAGATCGAGAGAAGATTTTACGTAATATGCTTGAAGATGCTTGGGTCATTCACTAAAAAAAATAGAACTGAAATGAAACGAAACGTTTTGTAAAATCACAAAACGTTATTTAGGAAATCTTCATCCCTTATTTCCTAGAAGGAAGCTGTCTTGCGTAATTTAATTTTCGCGTGGGTAGTGCAGACGATGAGTTTCAAATATCCGCCTCATCACTTTTGGGGGAAGAAAATGTGAAAGTCAAAAATAGTCATAATTTTCTTCCCTTACGAAAAACTTCCCCACTGTAATTTAACTAAATAAAGTTCCTCTTATTACTCTCCTATGAGCTGGGTAGTCTCAACAACTTCTCGCCAAGAAGTTTGAAAGAAGCCAAATTTGTCTAAAACTTTTTCTTGTTTCAACCCTGTGTTTGTATTCGGGCTCCAAACTTGAAATACTCACGTCTAGTGAATGACTAATGGCGTGCACGAATTCATTCGCGACTGAGATTGACGTCCCAGCCCTTCATTGACGCCTATTAAATATATTCGTCAACTTTCACATTGACCTTTTAACCCAAGTATTTTCATTCTGCACGAGATCACGCATTTAGGAAGAGCTAACTGAAACATAGTGGGGTTAGGCACATATTTCAGTATTTAACTTAGCTTAAAATAAACCTTGAAGACGACAAAACATGCAGTTGGGATCGGCCTCATAAAACCGGGGGTTCAACGCCGGACAAATATAGCTTGTGATTAGAATCACGTTTGAACGCTCGCCTCCTGGTGATCAAATTTGTCATCATGTAGAATTACACGTAGATATGTAGATGAAGATTATTATTCAACTGTCAACGCCTCAACGGTGCAGGACGCAGGAGTATCTCTTTTACCTTTCCTTCCAAAGCTAGTGACTCGGTACAAGGAGCAATATTGTCTCCTCATATTAGCTATAGCAATGGTTTTGTCGCTGAGGTGTTCTTCAGAGAGAATGTTTTTCAAAATTATCTATTTTATTTCTAAAGCATACATTGTATAAATATTTGATTCAGTTACCTGCTAACGCGTTCGAGGTACGGTTACATTACAAAATCTTTATAATATCATTCTTTCATATTATTATACTTTTAAATAACATTACCTAATATTACATTCAAATGTAAAACGAAAAGTTACTTCGCGCGTGGAAACGTGTTACTCAAAAACAGGCTTTGTAGCATAGCGTGCATGTATTCACAATTTTATCACCCTCCTTGATATTAATAAACAACTTATATTGAGAGGGCTAACGTATTCAAAAGTTCGGGGATTTCGAGTTCTACTTGGTCTACTAAAACTTTGTATGCGATCAACTTTTCTGCAGTAAAGTTTATTAAATATTTACCGTAAAAAAGCAAATATAGAATTAGCCTTTCTCACGATGACGAATATCCGCCATTTTTGGGGTACTTTCAATTTTTTCCAACAATAATACCAATGTAAGAAGCATTTTTTAAGAGTCAATAGACCATTTGAACAATAAATTAAGCTTGAACTGATTAAAGACAGCCGCCCTGACAAGGTCTTGCGCTTACAATTAAAAAAAATTACCCCAAAAATGGCGTCACATTCGTCATCGTGAGAGGTTATTTATGTATGCAGGTATATAGGAATTATGGGTATAATGAGATCACGACCTCTAGTCACGAGACGCTTCTATGCAATAGGTGTCCAGATTTCGTAATACGCTCTTTGTCGGCTCGGGAAGAAAGGAGTCATATCAGATATTGCTCAAGATCCCAAAGAACATTATTTTATTAGAATATTAGTTACAGGTCAACTTCGTTGTCTCAAGATTTCTGGTATGTTAGTTATTTAGGTAAGATGCATGGTATTCTTTTGTGGTTATTCTATCAATACGATCACCACACAGCAATCAGAAAAGTACATATTGTTGTTGTTCATAATATTTCCGGCTGCAGTAGTGGCCACAAACACGAAGTCTAAGTGAAACGTAGTTCAGAAATTTGGAATTTCTGGTGATTAAAGAAAAATTAAATGACTTAAGTTTTGGTATTTGTTAATGAGATATGCAACACTCATTTGCTGACCGCAAAATCATGCAATGTTTGCTTCCCTTGAAAAATATATCTACTTAAATACACTCTCATTAGGGTGGGCGGATTTTCGTGAAAGAGCACTTCTGTATTGATGCATTCTAGAGAGCTTTAACATCGGGAGCTGGACTGCTTCTCATGGTTTTTTTTCTTTTGTTCGACGATGAGGCAAAATATGAAAAAAAACTTTTAAAATTATTATCACAGCTTTACAGAACTTTTGATGAACGGCGGGAATGGGGTAGCGAGGGTAATACCCCCTGGGATTACGTCTGCATGGGGATTGCCCCCAGGCCCAGGTTAACTTTAAAAACATCCCCATTCCCCAATGGTAACAACCTTTCTTTGCTTTAATAAGATGATGTTGTGCAAGAGTTGATACGAATTGGTTATTTATCTATGCAAAATTGTATTCGCCTAAAAATATCGCAGTATACCGCAAGTTTAATTCGTTTCGTGCATTTTTTAGATGTAAAAAGTTAAAATCCATTGATACCAACCGAGAGAATTCAGTGATTTTAAATATTGATTTAGTCTATTGCATGTTAAATATGTTTTTAACATTACTTGTTACGACAAAGTAGCCATGCTCTGCGGTTACGATATAACAATGTTAGTGTACAACTGTAAAATATCTATATATTTAAAAATTCGTCTAATAGGGTACACAACCCATGGCGTAGAATGGAGCCAAATGATGAACAAGGTTTTGATGAAAGGCGTTTTGAAGTTCCAGTCGACCCAGGACTATTTTGCTCTATTTGTCAATGCGTGCTCAGAAACCCAAGAGCTTGTCAAAATAAAGAACATCCATTTTGTTACGCATGTATATCAAAGCATCTTGAGTATTCTCTTACATGCCCAGAATGCCGCGAACATCTCACTCCAGAGATACTGAAAAATCCACCAAGATTTTTAATGGATTTTTTATCAAACCTCAAGATTAACTGTGATTACAAGGACCGTGGGTGTTTTGATTATATTCGGCTTGAAAATTTGCAAAACCACATAAAAAAATGCGACTTCAAACCAGTTATATGCGACAGATGTGGAATGGTGGTCAATAGAAAAGATAAAAACAATCAAGATTGCCGAGCACACGGCGAAAATCCCGAAACCCTGGACGTCCGAAATAGTGGTGAAAGGAAAACATGTGAAACTGCTGAAGAGCCAAAATGTCACGACTGCAACTATGCCAAAAGACGTCAGGAAAAAATAGAGTAGGAATAGATTTGATGAGGGAAAATCAAGAACAAATTCGAGCCAGGCAGAATCAAACAAATATTGAACTTGAACGAATGAAAGTCCAAATAACAGAGATAGAAAGGAAACACGATGTGATAAATGGTAAAGTAGACCAGTTAAATGTAAGTGCAGTTGGTAATGGTATTATACAAGATTTTCCACTAAAACATGCGTGGCTGCTTGCCGCAATTCTCTGAAGAAAATGTAGATTTTATTTTCTCATGATCTTTGTCTCAACCAGATATTTTGTTATATATATTTACTTGATCTAAAATTGCATGTAAATTTCTGTTGAAGTACAATTCCATGCGATGTTAATTCCCAATTTAATCCACCATCTAGGAAAATGTTAACCAGGTTAAACAAGCACAAGCAGAAATTAAAAGAGATCAAGTGGCGTTCAAAGATGAAATGAGGCAACAGTTTCAGACAGTGACCGACTTGTTAAACCAGTTGTTACAAGGGCCCAACAGAAACATTAGACCACAACCTCCGGAAAATGGAAATGGAGTACTTCCAGCAATTGATAAAACAGAGGTTATCATCATGGTGGTTGGAACGCTCCAGGAAGAGACACAATATTAAATACAGTAGAAATCATCAATATGACAGAAGGAAAATCCGCTCAGCTGGCCTGTATGAATCACCCGAGGGTAGAGTCAGCATCGTGTGTCTACAACAACGATGTGATCGTGACAGGTGGGTATGATGGTCGTGTTTGCATTGAGAGTATAGAGATCTTATCGATGGACCAGCAGCCTTTGCAGTGGAGATTGTTCGATGGTAAACTCCCAGCCAGTTTGTCTAGTCATTGTGTCGTAATTTACAAAGATAAACTGATCACAATTGGGGGAATGAACTCTACTGAGAACAAAACATCAAACGCAATCCATGAGACTTCTCTTTTTCCACCCTACACTTCAAAGCGGATATTTAAAATGAACCAGGCAAGACGAAACCACAGCGCAGAACTTGTTGATGATTTACTGTTCGTTTTGGGAGGAACACACACAGGTTTGAGTGCAGATTCCACTAACACTGTAATGTCTTACGATATTGCTCAGAAAGAACGCAAGCGATGCGAATCGTTACCTTATCGTGTTTCTGGGATGTCCACAGTGACATGGGGCAATAATATCATCGTAATCGGCGGGGCGGATAAGAATGATCGTGTTTTAAACAGCGTCATAATGTATGAAACTGTGAGCGGAAATAGTAAGTTTCTGCCGTCAATGTTGTACAACAGATACGGGAGCTCGGCTGTTATTGTCGATGGCATCGTTTATGTTATGGGTGGATGGAATCAGGAGCTGGGATATCTCAGCTCGATAGAATGTCTGACAATTGGAAATACATTTTGGGTAGAACTGCCTGGAATGAGAGAAAGAAGAAGACTGGCATCTGCTGTAGTGAAACCTTTAAACCAGTATGTTTAGGCAGGTTTTATACCAAACTACGAACACTTTTAAAAACGCAAACTAATTTTTCCTTGGTTTAGCCTTCGCCCAGTTTTGGTAAATCCGGTTCCAGGGGGGGAGAGAGTGTGCAGAGGGTGGACATCACTGATTCGTTGGATAACGATTATTTCTTTATGAACATGAATCCTTATAAGTTATGACTTTGCATTAAATGTGGTATAACAACTGACTAATATAGCTGACAAATACACTCCTAATATAGCTGACAAAAACACACACTCGACGTTTTGAGAGCCTTTGTCAGGAGAGTTTTCTGAAACGATTGTTTGTTAAATCAGATAACACATATACATCGGAACCTAATAGAAAATCTTTATGTATTTAACGCATGTATATATACCAATACTACAAAATTCATTTAAATATACAATAATCCAAAATTAAAGAATCGTCCGTATTACTTTCAATTAAGTTTATTCAGTTTTATATCTTGAGAAAACCCAAACTTGTGAAGGACTTCCATTACAAGGATTCACTACGGGATTTTGTGAATCCATTGAAGGACCACGATCGAGACATTGGCCACTGACGTCGTGTTTGATTGTGCCCTGAAATACGTAAAAGAATAAAAAATATTATGATAAGAGCAGAGAGGTTTTGCATGCCGACCTTGAAATAGGATTAGGTAATACGTAGGATTAGGTAATCCCTAGGATTACCACAACAAGCTAATGGTGTTTGTATGTGTAACAATTGACTCCTCTCAATTTGTTGCATTCGTTGCATTTTAAAAGCACAATAGAGTTAGAAATAAGTACGTTTTACATGTTTCTGATTTGTTTGAGAATTATACAAACACGTCTATTTTGTGAGATTTTACAAACATCCCACATTGTTCCATGTTTTTCTCTTTCCCGTTTTGAAACGATCATGTTACAACAGACTAGCAACTTTAGTGACAACTTACATACAAACAAAAACATTAATCGATATTTGATTGGTTTTAAAAAACTGCGGTAGGAATTGAAAATCAAGACAGGGAAATCTATCAAATACATACAGATTTTCGGTCATGAGTCCATTTTTGATTTCCTTCCATACCATGACAAGGAATGAGATCAACGGTGGCGCCAGGTTCATACTTTGAATTATCGACACAATTCTCGCTTTCCCACAGGATTTCGCCGTGTGAAGAGAACACGAAATACTACACACATATTACAAAAAGTGAGTTAAAATGTTGTAAGGAGCACGTTTGTGTAAGAGTATTTATTGTATACCTGGTTATTTCCTTGACCATGGCAACCGTATAAACCTAACTTATTTCCTGATTTCATTCCAAGAGAATCCAGACATAAACTACTTTCGGGATTACGAACCTATATAAAGCAGAAGAAGGTGAAAACGTTTTCCTTATTTAGATGAATCAAAGCTGATTTAGTCGAAGGCAAGGGTTTTAAATGTAGCTACATATCCCGACACAACAAGAATACTCTGTTTTTCTCTCTGGGTTTATTTCCTTAAAAGGAATAGTGAAAGATACGTAAGTTGATAAAATGTGTATACCTCCCCTTGCGCTGGTGGGTTGAGTTCAGGCATTCTGATATCAGGATAAACATTGTCTAAATACCACTTGAACGAATGACACTTTAATCTCTCTCGTAGTTTCTTTCTTTCAGTGATATCGCCAAAATCTCGATGGCGATTCTGCGGTTTCTTATTATAGTACAACTCTTTATATTCATCCATCCACACCTCTGCCAGACGATTAAAGTTCTTACTTAATGTTTTATCCACGCCATTTGGGAATTTGTATGGACTTGTTACTTTACGAAACACGTGCCCAACTCGTGAACAAGGAATGATTTCCAGTCTTCCTCCACACATCCATACCTGAAACAAAGTTGGGATTTAGAGTATGGCCCCCAAATGAAGAAATTCTCTAAAAGTTGTGTCTTTTTAAAAAAACTTTACTATTAGTTTATCGAATGTCTCTCATGATAACAAATGAATGCTCCTTTGACATTGTTGAACATTTAAAGTTTCTTCTGAACACTGATGCAAAAAAGTTGAACCTACACGGAATGAGAGTTCCAGGTTTTCACCACCCCAGATATCCATTTCTTCATCGTAAGATCCAATATGAAAGAAATATTTTCTGTCTATGGAAAACAATCCTCCAGCCATAGTTGGAGTACTGTAAAACAGCATGATATGAAATCAGGAAATGAATGGTTCAAAATGAATCTGGGCTGTGGACAACTGTTATTGTTAGAAATGGGTCCGAGTTAAATCAAAGTTAGGGGGGTTGGGGGTGTCATCAATTATTGTATTTATCAAGTATTTCTGGGGGGGGGAATTTTAAAGTGAACAAGAGAAGATTACTAAACAAATCACTTCTCGAAGGCATGGTGGATAAACAATTTTTTATTGATTCTTTACTATACTTGAGAAACGAGTATTGGTGAAGTGAAAGAGCTGAAAGATTGGAAAGGTTAAAATGGCAAGTATAGTAATATATTTCTCACTAACTAATTAAACAATATCTACAACTACCGTATTGGATCGGTATCATCTTTTCTTAGTTTCTGTTCTGCTGGAGGTATGCCTTTCCATTTAAAGAAAAGATCCCAGTTAAATCCTCCTCTCTGTTCAGCATTTGATGAAGCTTGATAGGCAAACGTATCAGCATTGAGGACCTCAATTGCAGGACATACAACATTTCTGGTGTCTTCTTTAATGCGTGCTAATAATGGTTCAGCCCAGCCTGGTGTGGCTTCACAATGTGAGTCAAGAAATGTCAGGACATCCCCTGTAGCCTCATTTGCGCCTCGTAATCGGGCTCGCACAAGACCTTCGCGTTTTGTGTTCCTCAAAACTTTCACCTTAGGCAAGTTCCTTACACCATCATCAAGAGGTGCAGAAAGGCGATCTATTAACAGAATTAAAATTATTTGAGTTGTACATGACAACCCTTACACTGATCACTAAGCTATAATCATTAAAACTCAAAGAGAAATGCAATTAAAGGTTTACACAAGTACTGTTATGAGATTGCTGCATCAGCAAGACCACCGATGTCTAATTATGACATCGAATTTTGATTTTTCATTGATTGTTTTTGATTTTATTTTGATTGTTTTAATTTGCCACTGAAAATCATATCCATTCTAAATTTAAGCCAGGAATTATGAAAAATTCCACTACAATTGTGTTTGGACTATGAAACTATATACATAGACTAACCATCTTCACTGAAATCATCAACAACAATAACTTCAGCCAATAATTCTGGTGGAGTTCTATTGATAACACTGTGTATTGTACGTAGTAATACAGAGAGTCGCTCTTTATGAAAACATATGATCACACTTGTTGTCGGTAACTTTTCTGGGTAGTTGTTATGCTTTGCTTTACATCTGTAAACATACACAAGTTACATGTACATCACAATAATTCTCATCACTGAAATTATACTCACTTCTGGTCTCCAGAAAACTATCACATTTTCATGTTTTAAAGCACCCTGAAAGTTCTTTATATACAATAGGGAAGGCAAGGTAGCAGAATTTTGGGGAAGCGTAATTTTTAGGCAATTTCCTAAATTACACTAGTGACCAATAATTCCCTATTTTAATTGCAGTAATTTAAATAGGATAGAGAATTTTGTTCCATTGTTAAAGGGGGAGGAGGTCCAAGCAAAGAACTAAGTGCTGTATTACACAATGAATTTTAAAAACGTTGTTATAGCTGTTAAATTGAAGGATATTTTGGTACATAAATTACAAATACTAGTGAAATACCGGGTGAAACAATATAGACTGTCATTTACACAAGAGCTATGACAAACCGGAAGCAATGTTGAATTAAAAACAATCATCACATACACGGGCTGTCTGACAAATCTTGAAATACACATTAATACATGTGTACAATGTCACGCAATTAACTTTTATTTACAATATCTTTATCGAAAATTCACAATTGTAGAAGTATCGATTTTACTTTTAGTAAGGTATTTAAGACTAATCTAAAATAAAACTTACCTTGAGCCACGATAGTCATCTAAGGTTCGATCCAGTGAAATTTTATCACTTAAAACCCAATTGAATGAGTGATCAGAGAAACGGTCTTGTGCTAATTTTTTATCTTCCTCTGAAACAAGATAAGCTGCTTTGCCCATAGCGCCTAAAGCATATGGATCTGTTTCTTTGAGTTTGCTATTATCGTATACAGGTCTGTGATTCCCGTGTATTAGTTTTCCTACTTTCTTTGATAAACTTGATAAATATCCTGAATTCTTTTTATACTGTCTTGAAATATTTAGACTTCCTTGCTGCCAGGGATATTTTATATCGTGATTTATAGGCTTTAAAGGCTCAACACCGACCTTGTGCATGAATTTATAGTCATCATTGCGATACAATGGAGCATTGAGCATTTCTAACGAGTTCCGTGTAAAATCATCATGCGACATGAACATTAATACCATGGCAGAGAACCAAAATAAAGTCGTTAGAGCTATGACCTTTAATGACTGATTTAATAACATCATACCCAAGTAAGATCTTGCGATTTCTTCGGTATAAAACTGTTGTTATAAGTGCGCACTCTGAACAAACAATGAGCACACTGCATCCAATTATAATGTAGTACAAATACTATCACTATGGACCTCAAAATTCTCTCAGCACGAATCGACAGAGGTTTAGGTTTTATTACAGTTGAAAAGCTTTCACCGCACGTTATAAATCATCGTCTTTTTGATACAGCGGAGTATTTTGTGGCAACACAAGCAAATACAGGTGCTGTAAAGGCAAACGCTATCTAACCGGTGTCCTTCCTTGTCAAAATAAATGAGACAAAGACAATGTATTGCGAAATCACTTCCTGTCAACGCAACCATTTAAGTATATTGGGAACGAAGAACGCTCTGCATGTACGGGGGGTGAAAGAATTGTGAACAAACAAAAAGTCACCCTATCCATTCGAAATTTAGAGCTGTGATATTCCTATCATATTACATAATACCTCGACTTAAAACCCAAAGGTAAATTTCCAGGCTTTTAGTTGGTATTTTTTTGTAAACTCACAACAGAAAATTTAACAAAAAAGCTGCAGACATGTCGAAAATGACGTCGTCGAACTACGATATACCCCCGGGTGAACACCTAATAATTATTACGAGAAGTGCACGTGTGGAAGTGCGTATGTTTCAATATGGCGTCTTCTAAAGGAATGCATATTGCAGGCAGTCAACTGTTTTCGCCATTTAGAGCGCTGGGCTACATCTCAAATGGTGTGCCATTTGCTTTGCAAGCTCTAGGGAGTGAACATTTTATTGCCACTGTTGTAGGAAGATCTTTCCACCTCTATAATGTTAGTAATAACTGTATTTATAAACCAATATAAAATGAGAGCGTACTCAAATAGTCACGTTCTCTCGTAATAATCTGTCTAGAAATATAAACACGGTCGGCTGCCTAGACTACCAGTTTATCAATGGGTCAGCCACGCCAGATCAAATTTTCTCGGACTTTTTAAGTATGTCTATGACTGCCTATGATTGCAGACATCCTTGTTATAAGAATGATGTTTAAACAATAAACTCTGTATCTTCTATTTTTCTCTGTAGTGTAAGAAGTTAAACCTGTTATTTGTTGGTAAGATGGTTATGTATGTAGGGTTTTATCAAATGGGTAGATCAATCCTGGGGCAATATAACAGCATAACTTATAACAGCTAGAATAAATCAGTCTAAAAAAGTCTTAGCATGTAGTTTTCTCTAGGCTATGGGTAATCACCCGACTTTCTTGTCTATTATAGTACTAGTTAAATGTATATATTGTCTGACATGTATAACTTTTTATGATTTCAAGGTACACCCCAAAGTAATGCAATTAACTGTATTACCACTCATAGTGAGCTGGTCATCACAGCTGCTGGAAACCAAATCAAAGCATGGAAAAGAGGAAAACAGGTTGGTTATGACAGGCACATATGTCTAATCTAATTATATCATGTAATATAACATACATAATTTTTATGTCATATTTAATAATATTTTTTACTAGGTATATGAATATATTGGTCATAAAAGTGATGTTCAGCTTCTCCTTCCTTTTGCTCATCATTTATTATCTGTCGATAAAAATAACTGTCTACGGATTTGGGAGATAAAATCTGCTGGTAAGTAGTCGAGAATTTTACATCTTATAAATGTTCACTGTTTTATCAATCTAATTATATTCAGGTTTAAAAAATTGAAAATACTTTTTTCATACATAACTGCTTGGTTCTTTTGCTCACTCTAGTGTAATGAATACATACCAGCCCTATATTCAAATTTATATTTAGAGTTATATTTGCAACTTGAGTTTGATGCATCATCATTTGACATAACAACCATAATGCATCCAAGTACGTATCTGAACAAGATACTTTTGGGCAGCAAGCAGGGTTCAATGCAGCTTTGGAACATCAAGACCAGGTAATTAACAAATTTCTTTTGGTTATTTTATTGATATGCAAGATGAGAATTTACCAGCCTTCATCATTTTCTTATGTTGCAGCAAAATGATTTACACCTTTGCAGGATGGTCTCAACCAATCACCGTAATTGAACAGGTTCGTAGTGCGTAGTACTATACAGATATGAAACCAACTAAGTGCTGGAGTACTGGAGAATTTCCTTGACAATTACAGAATGGTATAACAGAATGATGCGAAAGAAAGCAGGAAAGCAGGATGCTTTCTATTATCATTATTACTATAACTGTCTATAAGATTACTTTGGTTTAGGCCAGGGTACCATATATTAAAGAATAATGTGTCATTTATAATTAAGAATATGGACAAATAATTTAAGTACCATGTACACTGTGTTGTATTTAATGTAGGCTCCAGTTGTTGATGTGGTTGCAGTTGGATTACAAAATGGCAAGATCATTCTTCACAATTTAAAGTTTGATGAAACCGTGATGAGTTTCATGCAAGACTGGGGAGCAGTTACTGCCATCAGTTTTAGGACAGGTTAGTTTGTGCAGTTACTGCCAGGCCTTGATTGTTTTTGGCCACATGTTTTTAATGTTTAAGGTCATGCCATAGTAACTTATTTTGCTGTTGTCATGTACAATCTGACAGAATAAGGTGACAACATTTTGATATGCCCATCTTTTAAAGTGCCACACTATTTTCCATGCCTTGATATAAATCTGTGTATTTATTCAGATAGTCAAGCTATCATGGCAACAGGCAGTGCATTGGGACATATTGCTCTCTGGAATTTAGAAGAAAGATGCTTATCCAGTACATTACGTCATGCTCATGATGGAAGTATAACTGCAATAAGATTTCTTCAATCTCAACCACTCCTCATATCCACTAGTCCGGATAATTCTTTAAAAGTGAGTAAACTACTTCATCTATAGTCTGTGCATGCACCAGATAAGACCACCAGAGATTATAGGTCCCTGCAATAACCTTCATGAATTCTCTTTAAAGATTAATTTAACAAATCTGCAGAGAGTGCAGAGACGGCTAAAATGAATGATGCAATTTTCTTTTATCCAAACAATACAATGTGTATCTTGGCAAAGAGCTTTGTTCACACAGAAGTACATGTATGTTGTATGTGTACCTAGATGTGGATATTTGATCAACCAGATGGTAGTGGTCGTGTTCTTAAATCCCGCTGTGGTCACAGTGGACCTCCTTCTAGGATACGCTTTCATGGTTCACGTGGTCATACAATACTTAGTGCAGGTAATTCACTTGCTATACTGTGAATTACTTATTTATGATAGAAAATGATGTAAAATGTCAGTGCAAATCAAATTATTTAAATGTCTGACCAGAATTAAACCAGATCGTAATTACGTAATATACAACGTACAGCACTTCGACGTTTAGGATTTTGGGGCGGGGGAACCCAACCCAGTTAAACGGAAGGGTCAAAATGTAACAAAAAATACGGCGAATACCAATTAGGGCCGAAATATGTTCAAGTGTCAAAATGACCGCTGCTGGCAGTTTATAAAACGTTCGTTACGAATTAAAACATCAAAACCTCAAACGTCATGTAGATATATCGTAATGTCTTTAAAATCTCATGTAGATATATTCTAATCGATTTATTCTAAGGTCAAGACAGAAGTTTAAGAATAACATCAACGATTCGTGATTCACAAAACTGTGAACTATCGCAAGGTACCCACAGTATTTTCGCCATTTTTGCTTTTACTAAATCACATTTTCTGTATTTTATCAAATTTCAAGTTTTAAGGTCGGATCAGTCTTTGTTATCATAAAGAATCGTAAGATTTTTTGCCAAATTAATCTAACAAAACATATCAATTGATCTGTAGTTGTCAGTTATGAAAACGCTGATAAATCTGTTAAGTATAGTTCAATGTTTTCATTGTAGGTTCATTTCTTAAAAAATCAAAGAATCTCGGAGTGAAAATGGAAAACCTCAAGTTACCAATAGTAACTGATTTTGCCTCCGGTAAGGATCACACATTCCGTTAGACATTTTACCAGACATGCTTTAAGAGAGATCTCCAGAACCACCTTAAATGGAGTGGATTTAAGTCTTCCACTCACGAACTAATGGGCAAAGATGCAAAACATCTTTTTCAACAATGGAATGAATTTTTTTTTATTTTGCCCGTTAAATGTGGAAATAAGATTCGACCCAAGGGCGGAGGAAAACGTCGTTAATGTTTTGTTGCTTATTCGCACATAATATGGATTAAAATAACAAGTTGTTACTATATCTTGTAGAAATGATTATCTGTATGCGTACTTTCTACAAAAGTCAAGAAATGACCAAATTCGCCATCAATATGTCTTGAATCTTTTGTAGAAGAAACACGACAAGGAGACTGGGATGGAATCGTGACCTGTCATTATGGAACTTCTCAAGTCCGCACGTGGAATTTTCAAAATAAATGTATTGGAAAGCATTCTCTTGAACCAAAACATGAAGTAAACGATTCTGTTGCACTGGTGAGAATTATCCGCCATTTGAAGTCTTATTTGGGAGGGGGGAGGGTTGAGGGCTTATTTGGGTGGGGAGGGTTGAGAGGTTAACGTCTTCCCTCAAACAAGCTTGTATTTTAAACATGAATTTTTTCCCTCGTCTTTTTTTATTTATAGTAAACTCTCAAACTTCTCTTAAAGGACTTTAACAAGCTCTAAAGAATTAGTAATATACATGCGATATATATACATACTCATGAGTTTGGTATAATATATATTGCAATTTTTCCATGACTTGAGCTTTTCATTTTTTTAGTGCGCAACAATAAGTTCGTGTGGAAATTTCACAATCATTGGCCATTCTTCTGGACATGTTGATATTTACAACATTCAGTCAGGACTACATCGTGGCTCCTTAGGACAAGGCAAAGGTACAGTATGTGTAACACTAGCTACAGCATGGTAATGTTTTGTTTGTGCATTGTTATTGAAACGTATATTGTTTTGTTTAGCCCACGAAGGAATCGTTCGTGGCGTTGTGATCGATGGTCTTAATCAACAGATTATAACAGCATCATCTGATAAATCAGTGAAGGTAGTGTAGAAATGTTTTTGATACCATGATACTACGTCTCTATAGCACGACATTGACTAGAATTACTGCTTTATAGAAGGAAAAAAGATTTCGCTATTTAAAAGCAGAATTTCCTTCTTAAGTGAATAAACATTCACCTCGTTTCTAACTTACCCTGACGGGTGCAAAAGGAAGAATTTGAAAAGAAGATCAACATTTTTTAAAAACAAACTTTTTAGTTCTGGCATTTTAAATCAAAGTGTCTTCAGGCGACGTTGAGACTCGACGTTGGTGTTTCTCAGATAGTTTTGCACAGGGAGAGGTAAGATTACGTCAAATGTTATCATCCGTCAACCGAATGCCACTTAGAGTTCATTCTCACCTGAATTTTTCCTGTATTTATACTTATTTGATATAGTAAATGTCCTGCAAATTAGAATTTCCCAAATCATAAGCACCGTAAATGTATCTTTCCCACTTCATGTTTTAGCGCACTAATGGCTGTCGCATTGGATGATTTCACTATTAAAATTGTTGACACTGATATCAAGAGAGTTGTACGTCAGTTTTCAGGTCATCGAAACCGAATAACTGATGTGGTAAGCTGACATGGTTTTATTTACGTCTTGTGTATTATGTTTTCAATCCAAATTGCTTTCAAGCAATTATTGTACTTTTTCTCAGAAATAATGCACTTAGATTTAAACTGTTGTATTTATGTTGAGATTTTGATGTCGTATTTTCTGCGTTCGATAAGTCAGGCCGGTAAAAGCAACGTCTAAATACACCCGTATTTCCTGGGAACCACTTCAAAAGACGCATGGCGGTTAGCTTACAATTAAATGAAGCGAGTGTTCCAGGCAAAATTGTGGGTTAATATAAGGTTAATAGGAACGAGATATCTTTCTTAGGCATTCAGCCCCGATGCAAGATGGTTAATCACGTGTTCTCTGGACTCAACTATTCGAACATGGGATTTGCCTTCTGGACGGTAAATACCTTTCTACAGAGATAAATATTTATCATAATTTATGGATGTCAAGATGGGTTACAAATTACTCAACGATATTTTACTTCAAGTATTTTAGATTGCTTCCTTGTGGAATCACCTGCGACAAGCTTATCAATATCGCCTGTTGGAGATTTTCTTGCAACTGCCCATGTTGATGATGTTGGAATATATTTATGGTAGGCAAAATTAGAATATTGGCTCGCACGATTTTCACACAGCATGGACTACTAAAAGCAGTGCGTGACAACTTTTCTTTTTTGGGGGGAAATTATTAGGAATATCCTGAAACACATATTGTAATTTTTTACAATGGCATTAATTTTTGTACAGGGCGAACAAAGCACTCTATTCAAACGCTTCAATCATTCCACTTCCTGCGGATTTTCAACCATCATTTGTTGACTTACCATCAGCAAAAACCAGTTTCGGCGAAGACGGTAAGTCTGAACACTATCTATTGTGAATAAACCTGAACAGTAAAAAAAATAAACTGTATGTAAAACTGGCTGATATTTTTCATTCAATCGCCATAAAACGAACAACTCTAATAATTATGTTTAGACGAGGATGAAGATTCAAAATTCATTGAAAACTCGGATGAAGAAACTGTGATGGAAGAAGAAATGATAACAGATGAAAAATACAAATCACCAGATCAAATCTCTTCTGAACTCATCACGTTGTCTTTACTTCCGGAATCTCGATGGAGAACTCTGTTGAATCTTGATGTGATCAAAGTAAGGAATCATTTGGGATCACAAAGGATCAAAATCGTGATGTCGATTTAACTTTATTAATTGGTTGTTTTAACCAATTGGATATATGCAACTTCTCAGCTGAGTTCATTATGTATTTTGCCCCCGAGAACTCAATGAATCTAAATTTCTTTTCATAGCAACGTAACAAACCAAAAGAACCGCCAAAAGCTCCTAAATCAGCGCCATTTTTCCTTCCAACAATTCCTGGGGTTGACTTGAAATTTGATGTTGGGAAAGACGACACAGAAACAGCGGTAGGATAAAGTCTGTTGTCATATATGTACATCGACTGTACTTGTATTTGACTGATTAAAATCAAAGCATTATAATACACACCGTAGGCGAAAAATATTCATCAGGAAATGCCTATATAATCCTCTTCTTAACGAAAACACTGATATTAAGTTAATTATCATTAACAATCACTTGTCCTAGGCTCCGTCTAAGATGCGTCATATCACAAACTTTACGGAATATTCTGAATTCCAGCAGCTACTTGTCGAGTGTCGCGCTAGACAGGATTGTAAGTAAAACTTTCTGACGTCCATGTCGTGATTTGCGTCAGTAATTTTAATGTTAAGTACATGGTAGAGAAATGTATGCAATAAATTGAAGCAATATTGATGTACCTTGATATTTCAGACCAGCAGCTGTCACGCAAGTTAAAGGAACTGGGACCATCGGCCATTGACGCTGAGTTTCGTTGTTTGGCGCCAGGTGCAGGAGGGGATGTCGTCTTAATGGAGAATATGATGGAATTTCTAATCACTCAGTTAGAGTTACGGAACGACTTTGAATTAATACAAGGTTATATGGCCTTATTTCTCAAGGTATAGCTTGAATGGTTTATTTATACACACAGTACTCTTGAGGCTCAGATACGACAGTTTTTAGATGAATAAATCAATTGTGCTGTAAGAGTTTTGTGATATGTGGTGAACAACTTTAGATGGAATGCCGCTGACATCACTGCCGCCATGTTGCATGAAAGTGATAATTTGTTTGCAATGCGAATCCTATCCAACATTGCGAAAATCAGAAACGCTAACACCTCTGTAATTCTTCATTGCAGCTTCACGGAGATATTATTTCTTCGGAGAGTAGTTTAATCGAACGCGCAAAAAGACTTGAGGAACAACACAAGAAATGCTGGGACAATGTTCAAGATCTGCTTAACCAAAATTTATGTCTGGTCGCGTATTTCAAGAGTGCTACAATATGATGCAATCATTCATCCAATGTAAGTTTGTATTTTGTCGTGCGCAGTTAATAGAAATTAACGGGCTTACTGCATTGTGGACACAATTGCATGTATTTTTCGTGCTTATTGTGTCCTGTACAGCTGTGTAATAAAGCGGTGCCTAAGATAGGAAAGCTGAGAAAACCACAACATCATTCTCACATAACACACAGTCTATAAAGGCAGTGGTTGCATTCAGTAGCAACAATCAATGAAGCTTTGAATACATATTAGGATCTCAAGCGCAATTTATAGGAGAACGTTCAGGAGGATTTCTGGATAAAAATAATGCATAGAAACAATATAATATTTCAAATATAAATATTTATTAATAAATAGTTCCCGTATTTTTAAAACTGACACCCTTCACGCATTTACAATAGTACAGTAGTTCAAGTGGCGGCAAATGGACTTAACACACGAAAAAGTCAATTTTCTATGTGATCATGCAACTCCAGTTATTTTTACAACGTTACATTTGGAGATGTAAACAGAAGTAACAGACGCATAAACTTTACTGTCTTCTAAATCAATTATTTTGTTCTAACACCGCGTCAACTTCATTCCAATCAATATCTCCAACTTCGCTTGTTCCTGAAAAATCATCCCCAATTGCTGCTTTGGCTTCCGCCTGAATAAATATATAAAACCGCATAGGTCAACAATATCAGGTAAACTGTACTAATACACGTGGACGTTAACCACAAAACGTTGCTTGGGGACATACCAAAAGTGCAGCGACTTCATCAGACATTTCTAAGTTGTCCTCTTCATTCACTTATAAAAAAATGAAAAAAATGTGATGTCAGTTGAAGGAGATAGAATCCCAATTACTATTTTGGTGATTAGAAGTCCAAATTTTGCAACATTCAAAATTGTCCCTCGAGGTTGCTGTTTACATTGATTGACTTGAGAAATTTTGTATCCTGAACGAAGGCATATATACGCATACCTGATAAAATTCCGGGAAGTTTCTCATGTGAATCTTTCGCCTTGTTCATTCGATCTACTTTGAAAGTATCCAACATTATTCTCTTTTCGTCAAACGGGCTTGGATCCCTCCATCTGCCTTCCATCGAGTTCCTTCGGTTTCCGTCGGTTTCCAACAAACTACGACGACTTTGTTTGTTTTCTATGACATCATTTAACAAATCTCGTAGTTCGCTATCTCCACTGAGCAGACTATCAATATTATCTAATCTCTGGAAATCAAGGGGGTCACCCAGAGACACATCTTCGAGCAATTCATCAACACGTGGATCTAAGGAATGTTGGAATCTACCCCCATGTATTGATGATATACTCTGGTTAAAATCAAAACTCGCTGACATCTTTTTTTGGTAACTTTCGTAACTTTTCCTTGTGACAAACTGTCTTGCAGACTCCTCAACATCATATGCATACTCTGGCAAATCACTGTTTTGCACGCTAAGCTCCGTATTCACTGAACTGTTTAACCTTGTCAAGCCAGCCTGACTAGGAATGGTTCGAGTGTTAGAAAGTTCTCTCGTTGATTTCCAGTTTGTTTTCTCAGTTGGTATCTTTCTTCCTTTTTTATGGTCGAGATTTCTGTTCTCCTTGTAGCGATTGTTTGCCTTCACCCGAGTTGTTTTCTTGCCGGTTTTACGCTGGGAATTTGTCACAGAATTTTGAGTGATTAAAGGAGCTCTTTTTGGTGCGTGCTCTGCAACCATTTCATTCATGAGATCGTAAGCGGACAGCAATCTCTCATCGACATGTTCCTTCTTTTGGGTTCTTAAGAAAAAAAAGAGTTTGAGTATGTCAATCAATTCGTAATAATAACTGCATTGCACCTTGATATACAAGGTTCAAGGTCTTTTAGTTCAATCTTGTTAGTATAACATGCAGTGAATGAACAAAAATCGTCCGACAGAGTTTGACGAACAATGATACAAGAGAGTTTGAAAGAAGATATATATAATACCTTCGGTTATCTTCCCTTTCTTTTTCGCACTTTTTAAGTTTCTTTGACGATAGCTGGACCTGAAAATCGACTCAGTTAAACCAAACACAAGCCTGCATGGAAAATTAAATTTGATATATAAACCATCATGCAGACTCACTTTCTCTTTCTGTATTTTACTCTGGAATGGTTTGAACTCTGTCTCTCTCTTTTCATCCAGTTTCTGACTCCATTCTTTATGTCGTAGTTTTCTCTTCTTCGCCATCCACTCTCGCAACTCTTCTTGTTTCTGGGGGGTTTTATCGCGACTTCTAAAATAAAGAAACAAACGTAGTACCATCGACCTTTTTAAGATTGAAGACTGGCTGGTGTACAACGTAGACTGGCCTCCTGTTTTCACAGATGTCGCTGAAAAATTTAATCCTATACTGATATCTTAAGAGTTGAAGACTATTATTAACAAGAAGAAATTATGCCAAATTACAAACCTGGTCTTAGCGACAGTTGGGGTCGCTGTTCCCATCAAAATTTCTGTCAATTTTTCTCTGGAGATATTTAATACGTCTTCAGGCGTTAGTGATAGCTTAAATCTATAACAAAGAAAGCAGATTTACACTAACTTTTCGATCATCCTGATAATTTTCCTCAATCGACAACAGCTGGGTTTATACGCTGCATTTTGGTCACGTCAAATGCAATTCAATTAAGCTACTCTTTAAAATGACGTACCTATCAGCTCCGATAGTTTCAGACGGCTCCGACTTCTTTACGCGTGACTCCGATATGTTGATAGGACGGCTTGATTCGCTACTTCTCCGGCTTTGAATATCCTCCTGTGTATCCTTATGTCCCTCTGAATCACCATTGAGTTTCGTATCTGTAAAGTCAGTTTTAGAGCAAGACGTTTCGTCCGAGGCATCAGACATATTTGCAGCATTAGTCTCTGTCGGCGTTTTCTCCCGACTGTTCTCCAGAGAATCAACGCTTCTCTCTTCTAAGCAAAAAAGGAAATTTTTATTGAAGATCAGCATAACGTATAACGCGCAAGAACAATCGTAAGGTTAAACATGGTTGGAAATTTCATATATATTTCCTGAACTCTGACTGTGAGTGCCGTTGTAACAAAATATAATGAAGTGTTTTAATAACATACGAAGTTTACCATTGCGATCATCGGAGGTGAAGTTTGTTAATTCTTCCATAGGTTTATTGACCCAAGGACGAGTGTTTAAAACTGATTTCTTATGCTCGTATTGAACATGACTGCTTTTCTGTGACATTTCGTTTTCATCAGTCAATTCACCATAATAACTGGTGTTCTCAGTTTCAGGAAACATCGCTATCCTTGTATTGACTTTAGCAGCGTTGCGTGTTTGCTTTCTGGTTCCTCCTTCAACGTTTTCATCAACATTTCTCTTCCACTTGTCGACTTTTGGTGCGTGATCAGTAACCCTGTTTAGATTCTCAATGGTACGTAGCAACTGTATGAATGAAGACAGAGAAAGTCTTAATAATAGGATTGCTGGTATGGTTACAG